AAGCATTTTTTTAAATGAAGCAGACTAGAACACAGCTATCTGACCTCACAGTATACAGTGAAGCACATGTGTTTTGTGGGAATTCTGTCCTAGCTGTATATGGTGTGTGTATGGCATATATTTGTATTCTTGAAGATATGGTATGTGAATATGCAAACATAGATTTATTTACTTTGATTCCTGTTGTGAGATGTGCTTCACAGAAAGTATTTGAGGGTCACATCTCTAGGTGGCTAAGATAGGAGCTCTGGTACCCCTAGGTTAGCACCAGCAGGAAGGAATTCTGAGGAAAGCTCACTGCCATTCTGAAAAGTCCTGAAAGCCACAGAAGAGAGTATTTTATTTGTACATCTTGTCCACTTAATCTGCAGAGGAAGAAGTCCTGAAGAAAGGGTTTGCATGAATTCACGATTAACCCCACAAGGAGGCCAAAATCCCCAGTGGGCAGATGAGTAAAGAAGTGGATCCCGCCTGGGATAAACATTAGCTGACTTCCAGAGAGCCCCCAAGAGCAGACGGGAAGAGTGTGGGAAAGGAGGACCGTGCATGACCCCCCCTGGTGCGTCATGAGTGAGAAGGGGAAGGATGCAGGAGCGTGTGGCTGCATGTGAGAAGGCTTGGCCCTCATCAACCAAAGCCAACGGAGAACACACAGGTCTGAAAACTAATAAATGAGAACCAGGGGACCAAACCATGAGCCAGGGCAGGATACGTACTCTTCCAGGTCATGCTCCCAGTGACCCACCTCTGCTGGCCTGACCTTACCTCCTAACACCACACCGGCTTGGAACTCTTCTGTGAATTAATGCACCATTGAGAATACCACCTCGATGATCCAAATACTTGCGGACACATCCTCTCTGAGCACAAAAGTGTTTGGGGGACACTCTAGATCTGATCTGCAACATGCCTGTCTCCAAAACAGATCCTATCTGGTATTTCTTCATTTTGTCTTGCAATAAGGACAGCAAACCACAGAATTGATTTGTTTGCTGTCAATATTTAATTCGGAACAGAACTGAATTTCATGAAACGCCCTCCAAATCACCTAATCCAAGCTCAGAGAGATCTTACAATGAGCCCTTCCCAACTTACATCCTCAACTGGAGCTACAGGAAAGTGGCATTGTTCTCACACCCATCTTTCGTGCAGAGGGAGACACTAAGGCACAGAAAACCAGGCTACAATCCAAGGACCCAAATCTAGGCAGCCTGGCAAAGATAGTTTAGGACAGAAGGCAAGTGGCTTTCACCAGAACGCTACCATGATTGATTTGGTTATCTAAAGTCAAAACTTGCGCCAGTGAAAGATTTCTGTGGTATCTATAGCTACCATGACTTTTTGTGTTCAAAGAGGACAAATCACCTCTGCCCTCCAATCTCATATTTCATTCCCATTGCACTGTGCTCCTCTAAATCCTCAGTTTCTCTCTGGAACCACTGCAGAAACTTGCCAAGTGCAATGTTTACCTCCAGTCACCTCCTCCTGTAAGCCAGAAGGAATTCCTGAAGAAGTTTCCTGATCACGCAACTCCAGACAGACAGATAACACGCACTATTTGCAAACCATTAGACTCCACTGTGAGTCCTGTAGAATCCTCCAGCAAGTTGGAAGGCCCAGTACATTACCACCATGACCTCCTTTCTTTCCAACGAAATTAAACCACTTATTCCCGAACAAGTCCTGAATGCGTTATCTCTGCAAACAATCTCTGATCCATGTGTGCTTCCAAGTTCCAAAATCCTATCCGAGCTCGATCCAGCTCAGTGTCACTTAGTCTCCAAGGCAATGCAGTTTAGTGAAAAGACAATCAGTGAACACAGACCTAAGCCTTTCCCAGCACTCTCTCCCCAGCCTCTGGCACCCTCGTGTTCTCACGGCAAACAAATTAATTGCCCCTTCTTTCATTCTCCTATGCAGCTTTGCTTATTTAAAAGAATCACCACATTCTACCTTACATAGGTTTTATTTTGTCTTTCTTTCCTACTAGGTTTTTAAATCCTTAAAGACAAAAACATCTTATTCATGTCGCAGAGTACAAATAAGTAACCATAAATTAATTGGACATTGTGAACGCTTATACTGTCAACCACAACTAAGTTCTTACAGTCATGCTTCTCTCAAGTCTCAGTGATTTGCAGCCGAAAATTATGAAGTTGGGTGAGAGAGACCGCATAAGTATTTTTGGGCTCCAAGTTTGGGAATAGGAGCTTTCCCAAAAATGGGTGTAATCTGTTTTCTTTTTCTTTTTTCCCTGGGGACAATGCTTAGTCAGGACCTTGTATGTACTCACGTGACACTGTTTCTCTTTCTGATTGCACACTGGATCACCAATAGTTATAAGTGGAGTCTACATCATCCAGTGTGGAGAGCTCCAGACAGCCATGGGTGAACCTGATGGCCCCCCCATGTGTGTCCACTACCGATTCATAGTTTAAAGAGCTCCGGTGGTGGGAACAGGACCTGCCTCGCCCTACTGTGCTATTCCAGGCCACAGAGAATTCTAAGTGGCTCAAGTAAGTGGACTTCCACTGACCACACAGATGGACATGGCCAGTGCTTGGTGCTGGGAAAGGGGCCAGCATTTATAGCCTCCTCCTGTATAGACTCTTCCCCAATTTAGAAAACTAACAATCTTTTGATTACCAAAGAGCTGATTTTCCTGTAAGAATGTCCTTCACTAGTGAGAAAAATTCACTTATTTCTTACATTTCTACTTAATTTCTAGCTGCCTTTTACTTAACCACTTTGGAGATTTTTTTAAAGAAATTCACTAATTATTTTTTTTAATTTTTAAATAGGTCCAAAAGAAAGAGCACTCAATGTAATACGTGTAAGGTCTCACCTCTCATCCCTGCCTCTCCGTGGCCCTTCATTGTTTCTGGTAGAGCCAGAAGTCAAGGGATCTGTCAGAAAAGCAAGTGAGTGTGACTGAAATCAGCTGGAGAACAGGGCACCACAGGCGGCTGCCTACATGATGATGGAAATTACTCTGTGTTCTACCAAGTCTCCGGGGTCCAAGAAAAGGGACATATGAAGGAGATTCAGAAACGGTCAACAAAATTATAAAGGAGGTGTGAGGCTGATTTACGAGGCACATCATGTGGCCTGACTACAAACAATAACCGGGCAGAAGACTCTACGAACATCCACCAGTTTACAGGGAACATGACAGCTGGGGCGAGCAGGGGAGGGCACCGGCCTGAAGTGGGAACACTGTGGTCTCTGCTCTTATGCCTCCCCATTATTAAATACGGGGAACCCATCGCTTAAGATCTCAGTTGTCCACTTTGTCTCTACCCATTCGCCCAGCCCCAGCCCATGGACACCTTTTCCAGGCCCCCTCACTTGAGCCCTAGGGGAAGGGACATTCCTTCAGCTCGTAAAACCAGAGGTGTGGGAGGACGTGGTTTGGAAAGATGTGGAAGAAACACATGGGCTGTGACAACACAGAGAACCAGTTAGACAGACGGGAGTCCTATGGCCTTCAAGGATCCTAGTGGCCTCTGAGACCCCACAGCACGGTCCCCATGTGGTTACTCTGTGTGATGCTCAAGGATCTTCCAAGAAAGTTCTCTTCTAACCAAAGCTCATTCAGGTTTGGCTTCTGTGGCTCACAATGGAAGCACCCGTGGAGGCGTTTCTGTAGGGGGAGTGCTTGGTGCACTCATCCTGGACTTCCCTTTTCTTATCTCCAAGAAGAGTCAGCACATGCCTAAGTTACCAGCTTCTGTGCCTCCGGTCCTAGTCCCTGGAAACCTGCTCCCTCGCACCCCCCAAACTAGGTGCTCTCCCTCTTGATTTCGGGGAAGCCAGCCTCTGGTTCCTAGAACACTGAACTGCTGACACCCAAGAGCCACCACTGGGCAGGCTGAGTGGAGTCCAAGAACCTGTATCCTTTTGACACGTCCCGTTGGTTGTTGCAGCCAGATGTTGACGACATCCCTGGACCAGGTGACCCCTGAAGCCCAGCAGTGTGAAGAGTATAAGGACACCCCCAAGAAACTCGCGGATTAATGGTTCTGCATCTGACACCTCTCAAACTCGCTGGAAATTACTGGAAGCGTGTCGCAGCTGTTGCAGGTGCAGGGAACGGTGCTGAGGAAAGTGGGGTGTCCAGAGGCAAGCCCCCCTACCCCCCCCCGCACCATCTTTCCGCAGGCTGCCTAGGATTTCTTTGGCGCTGCGCAGAGGGTGTAGAGGCCAGGCGCTCCTTTTCCAAGTCTCCAGTTACATCATAGGCTTGTATGGTGTTTCTTATAACTTGTCTTCCCAAGGCTGGCGCTCTCGGAGGAGCTGAGCACGGTTTTCCCCGGGGTAGCTGCAAAGTCGTGGGGGGGGGGGGTGAGTGTCATCTCGGGAGCAGGAGCGCTGCGCGCTGTCTGAAGAGGTGACGCGCGTGTCACAGCAGCCGCCCCTTGGAAGTGGACAGCGGTGAAGAGGGGGTTCGCTGGGGCTCGGCCCGGCTCAGCCCAATCCACTCCCTGAGCTCTTGGCGGCGGCTGCTGGACCCCTCCAGCGCTCCGGGCTCTCCCTCTGCCAAGAACAGTTTCCGTCTTTCATCTGCATTTTATTGCATTTTATTGGGTTCCCACCAAACCTGTGCAACTCCGGGCGCCAGACCCAGGGAAACTCGGGATGGGCAGCTTCACAGGGGCCTCGCCGCCCGTCCAGTAACGCCCTGCCCCCTGACGGGGGTCCCTCGCCCTCCCCGCTCCTTCGCCCCCAACTCGCGAGCATCCCGCTAGGTCCCCTCGAGAACGCAGCCCTTAGCCCAAGCGGGGTGGCGGAGGCGAGCGCCGGGCGTGGGCGTGGGACCGTCCCGGGGGAAGGCGAGGCAACTTCCAGGAGGAAGCGGGCGCCTCCTCCCCGGGCCCGCTGGCCGCACCCGGCCGCTCCCCGCGCCCTGGGAAAAGTCGCGGCGGGAGCGCGGCCGGTTGTCATGGCAACGCGGCAGTGCCGCCCCGCCCGCCACCTCGGCGCGTGCTATAAAAGCCGCGGTGCCGCCGCCGACGCCCAGCCGGGCCGGGACCTGGGCCGCGCGGTGCCAAGCGAGCGAGCGCAGCTGCGAAGCCGAGCATGCGGGGCGAGCGGAGCATGAGCCTCCCGCTGCAGAAGCGGTGCCTGTGCGTGGCCTTCCTGACGCTGCAGCTGCTGGGCCAGGTAGGCGCCGCGCCCCGGGGCCGGGGTCCCCGCGCGCACCGAGCCCGCACGGCTCTGGGCGCACGCGGTGACCGGTCCTCCTCCGCCCCCGCCCCGCCCAGGCCTCAGCCGCTCCGCGCTGCCCCTCCCCGTGCCCGCGCCAGTGCCCCGCGCCGCCGCCCTCCTGCGCCCCCGGGGTGCGCGCCGTGCTGGACGCCTGCGCCTGCTGCCCGGTGTGCGCCCGCCAGCGCGGCGAGAGCTGCTCCGAGCTGGCGCCCTGCGACGGGAGCGGCGGGCTCTACTGCGACCGCAGCGCGGACCCCAGCAACCAGACGGGCATCTGCATGGGTGAGCGGCCCCCTCTCGCCTCCCCTTCTCTGCCCCCGACGTGGGTGAGCAAGTCGTGCCCAGGCAGGGTTTGGGGGCGCTCAGCCTGGGCCACCCTGGTCTGGGGGCTCCAGAAGCCAGAGGACAAACCTGCAGGCGGAGGGAGGGAGACTGCGGAGCCAGCTAATAGGCGGGAGTGGGGTAGGGCCGACCCAGGGACAGCGCTGTCTCTGCACGTTTCTAGCCCCCGGGTTTTCACACCTATAACCCTGGGCTTTGGGCTGGAGCAGCGCCACCTCTCCTGGGGGGACCCTGTGACCCCCGGCTGGGCTGCAGGCAGCCGGCCAGTCCCGCTCAAGACATTGAACCAACTGGAGACCCAGGAGGCCCTGGCAGGGAGGCTGCCACCGATGCCCACCTGGGCGGCAGATCCTTGATGATTTATTGCGTTTCTGTGCCAAGAAGCCCGCCCTGGTCCGGATCTGATCAGTTAGCCTATTCGGAGAGTATGAATTGCACTTTTTAAAAAAAGTCTAAACTATCCCAGTAGAAGACTCTGAGGTGCTTCTTGCAGTGACTTTTCCTTGGCCGGGGAGTTGTCCCATCACAGTGGGGCTTCCTTTTCGTTATAGTGGAAAAGTTTGGGGAGAGAATCTCAAAAGTAGGAAGTGAGGATATTTAGGAAGCCACTAATGAGCCGGCTCATTTCCACCGCAGTGGAGTTTACAGTGTGCCTCTTTCCCTTGCAAAGCAGCCAGGTGGGTGTGGCGGGTTTTAAGGCCCTGGGGTTCCTTCTGTGCTGGGAGGACGTCCCCCTCCCCTGGAGGCGCCCAGGAAACCGCCTCCCCCAGCCCAGCCGAGAAGGACCAGCCTTGAGCCGGGTCCCCCGGTTCTCACGAAGCCTGTTCGGTGCTTTGCGCTCTTGCTATCTCCCCGCTCTTCCCTTCGCCGGCTTCCTGGAATGTGCAGTGCTGGACGGGGACAACTGCGTGTTCGACGGAGTCATTTACCGCAGCGGGGAGAAGTTCGAGCCCAACTGCCAGTACCACTGCACCTGCCGGGACGGCCAGATTGGCTGCGTGCCCCGCTGCCAGCTGGACGTGCTGCTGCCCGGGCCCGACTGCCCGGCTCCCAGGAAAGTGGCCGTGCCTGGGGAGTGCTGTGAGAAGTGGACCTGTGGCCCCCACGAGGAGGGCCTGACCAGCCTGGCCCTTCCAGGTGAGCAGCCGCAGGCCCCGCGGGGGAGGCGGCCGCGGCCCTGCGGGAGCCTCCCACTGTCTCCTGTTGCCCTAAGGCCAGCTGCTTCGCGGCTGGAGCGCTGCAGTTTCTCCTAAGGAGAACCTGACAGACCCAGCTGCCTTTCGGTGTCTTTCCTCATTTGCTGACTGTTATCTGCACTGTAGTCCATTCAGCCCAAATGACCCTTATTAGCACTACAAAGCCAAAAGTCAGAATCCTCTTCCTCGTCTGGATTCCACATTCTCTCTCTCTCTCTCTCTCTCTCTCTCTCTCTCTCTCTCTCTCTCTCTCTCTCTCTCTCTGTCTCCTCTATCTGGACTGGAAACTCCTCGCTTGGCAGGTGTCACACAGAAACGTCATCTTTCCAGATGCCAGGAGAAGACTAAAGTGACACTTCAGGACCTGTTATTCTTTCTGTGTTATCTTATAAATTACATAGTCTAGGAGGGGGGCAGGAATCTCAAAAGGCAGTAAGGAATGCTTTGCACACCAGTTGCAGCCAGATTATTTCTGTTGGGAGCACCCCAAGTCTTTCTGAGGTCCGAAATTATCAACCCTGCTGGACACATAGGAAAACTGAGCCAAGCCATGTATATGAAGTGTCCAAATGGGACATTTTGCAAGCAGGGCTTGTGTGTGTGTGTGTGTGTGTGAGAGAGAGAGAGAGAGAGCTCTACCAACTGAAAACAAAATATTACTTCCATGACTATTTTGATTCAGCTCATTCTACTTATGCATCAAAAGTAAAATTTTAGCCTGATCGAGGTTCGGGGTTCTGCCGCAGCACTGCCAGAATCCCAGGTTGAAAGCAGTGTGCCTTGCGGAGTCGGTGGTGGTGGTGGTGGTGTGTTGTTCCGTATTCTTAGTGCCACCGAGCTTCGCGCAGACAGGTTGTCTTACGGTCGTGTGCAAAGATGGTTTCAGATCTTACCCTGTATCAGCATTGTGTTTCCTGACTGGGGTTTATGAATAAATCCGGTTCTGGGCTCTTGGAGTCCAGGGTTCAGTGAATGCAGAACTGAACGAGATCCACTTCCTATCGTTGGCTTGGGGATCACCTTCGGAGGTCCCCTGTTTTACCCAAGAGCGCCCTCTTCTCCCTCCGGTAGCCTACAGGCCGGAAGCCACGGTGGGAGTGGAGGTGTCTGACTCCAGCGTCAACTGCATCGAGCAGACCACGGAGTGGAGCGCATGCTCCAGGAGCTGCGGCATGGGCTTCTCCACCCGGGTCACCAACAGGAACCGCCAGTGTGACATGGTGAAGCAGACTCGGCTGTGCATGGTGCGGCCCTGTGAACCAGAGCCTGAGCAGCCGGCGGAGAAGGTAGGACTGGGGAGCCACCCCAGGGAAGGCAGTGGCCTGGCCTCCTTGGAGCCAGCCCTCCGGGTTCCCATGACCCCAGGTGACTCAGAGGTTAGTGCAGGCTGGGCGTTTGCTCCAGACAAAAGGCACAGCAGTTCTGGGAGCCAGGCTGAGTACCTGCTGGTTTTCCTTTTTACGGTACCATGTTTAAATATCACACAACTCACAGCAGATCCACAGGAAGGAGGATGGGGCCGGGCAACTAAAATACTTTTCCCTAATCAAGAAGGCTACAGGTCCCGTTCTGCTCTGGGGGAAGGTTGACTTCAAGTTGTAGGCGCAGCTGAATTTAGAGAGTGGGGTGTCGGGCTATAGCTTCCCTCACCTCTTAGCTTAAGTTCAGCTGGGTGAGGCAATAGGGTACAGGTTATCTCTGTCTCCCATACCCCACAATTCCCAGCACACCATCTCCTGTGAGATAAACAACACAAATAGGTATCTGGGAATGACTGTGGTTATCTGTAGCAGCTTGGTGGAAATAATACATTTACCGGCACGAAATAACACGAGCCAAATAAAACAACTCATTTCTTTCTCTTTTGCTGGAATTCTAGCAACAGAGCATGAACTCTGTGTAAAGCATGCAGATTAGAAGCTCTGATTGGTTCCTGGTGGCATCTGGAGCCTCCGTGCCATCAGACGAATGGAAACACCAGCTTGAAACATAATACAGACCTTTATACAAACCCACAGCCAAAATAGAACACCCTAGCAACTGAGGACTCACAGATCTCCACCACGGCAGGGTCACCGTTCCTGTCCTTGAGGGGACCGCCCTGTGGCTGCACAACCTGGCCTCAGAACCTGTACATCCACATGAATAAGCTGTGTGATCCCGGGCAGCATCTTCCCCTCCTAGCCTGATTTCTTCCCTTCTGTAATGGAGTCGTTAAAAGTCTCTCCCTCAAGGTCATCATGAGGATTAGGTGGCAGACTTAGCTACAAGCCAAGCATAGATTAAGTATGCTGATGACATTGATTGTCACTTCCTAAAATGGGAAATGGCATTTACTGATACACCATGAATCCTTGTGGTTCTGTTAGTTATGTCTGTGGCCACTTAGCTCTGTGGTTTCTTTTGATCCATGTTAACTTTACATTTCTTTTACTAATTTAGAAGGAATATTTATAAACACTTTCCTATAAGATGGTAGCCTGGAAGACACATCTTCACCCACCTAGGAAACGTGTATACCATAGTTGTTCATCCACATAAGCAGTCACACAGTAACACACACACACACACACACACACACACACACACACACACACACCACAGAGATGGTGCTGACTGCTGCGTTTTTATCCAGGTTGACAAGAATATATGCTAAATATGAAAATGTTAAGCATGCAAGAAAGAGAAACAAGAACCTTGGAAATATTCTTTACCAAATATTCTTTACTGAACAAGGCTTTTGCATCTTGTATCTGTGAAAAAGTATTTCTTGTAAATCGCATTCTACTTAATACTGGAAAGTGCAGATGTAGCTGTGCCTTGATGGTGTGCGTATTTCATAAAAGTTCTAGAAAGATGTTTGGAATTTACAGGGAAGCACTAGCATAGGAGTTGTGTCTTCCTTCCCGGGGATTTTTAAACCTGAGTCTGTAGTTCTTTGAGTAGTTCTGTGCCCCATCTTGGAACTTGTGAAACGTGCAGGTCTGTGAGCTCCACGGCATGAATACTAAATACAGATGACTTCAGCCAGGTTGAGAGATCTGAGTCTTCACAGACAGACATGATTCCAGTGCACACCAGGACTGGAGAGCCTCTGGTTTAGGGGGACCCTGAGTCTGGTCACCCCACCAGCGGTAGCCTGTGCCTTGGGAAGTGGGGAGTACAGAACTGCAGCAGAGTGAGAAGTGGAACAGTTCCCTGTTGACCCTCAGGGCCCAGGATCCTCGCTTCCTGTTCAATAAATTCTCTGTTTGCTTCTCTTCGTGGAAGAGAACCTTAAATCCCATCATCTTATAATTTCCTGAGGTCGTCATATAATAGAAGTGGGTTTTTCGTCAGACAAATTCAAATACTAAATGTTTTCTATCTATAAAGTTGGGTAGCTGTTCCTTCTAGGTGGGTTCCCTCTCTCTTTGTAACACCTACGAACACTTGTTGGAGTAGTCATAAAGACAGGCTTGGTTATCATCTGTTTGTCCTCCCTTTCATTCCCTTCAGGGCAAAAGATGATCCAGCCCAACTAGGCACTGTGTTCACGTTGCAGACAAAAAGGAAAAGGAACATAGGAAACAGGAAAGAATTGTCCAAAAGACAAAGGGAATCCCAGAGTCTTCTTAGTTTATCTTGTCATTGGCCACAAATTTGTCACAAGGCCATTGCAAGCCCTTAGATATTCCAGGGAAGGCACTGTCTTTAGTGACCCCATAGTCCAGAAAATTAATGTTCTTTTAGCAAAGAAGTTAAACTGAGGGATCCGAGTGGGCGTAGCAGGTTATTCCATATGCACGCAATGATCCTTCAGAAAAATGGCCATCATCCCGTACATGGCTTCTTCTCTTCTCCTGCAGAAGGGAAAAAAGTGTCTCCGCACGCAGAAGTCGCTGCAGGCCGTCCATCTGCAGTACGAGAACTGCACCAGCCTGCTGGCCTACAAGCCCAGGTTCTGCGGAGTCTGCAGTGACGGCCGCTGCTGCACCCCCCACAATACCAAGACCGTCCAGGTGGAGTTCCAGTGCTCGCCGGGGCAGACCGTCAAGAAACCAGTCATGGTCATCAGTACCTGCACCTGTCACACCAACTGTCCCAAGAACAACGAGGCTTTCCTCCAAGACCTGGAGCCGAAGAGCAGCACAGGGGAAATATAAGAAACACCCACAGCGGCAAACTCCAGCTGCTGCCGACTCACCATTGAGTGAAGAAAACTTGTCGCATCCTTCAGTCCTGTGTATTTTTGTGTGATCCTATGAGGTCACTTGTATCTGTCTTTGGTTTATTGAGAGATATTCGAACTGTAACTCGGAGTCAAGGGAAGCTCAGGATGTGGCTTAGGGATGACTTACTTGCCTGTGGTGTTTATTATCAAATGCAAAATTCCATACACTTAAGAAGCCAGATACATGACTTCCTGTGTAGACTGTAGCATGTGACACTATCCTGTTTCATGGTGCAATAGTGCCATTCTAAGATGTCGCTGTACAGAGTGACACGGTGAGGTCTAGGATCACACAGAACGTGTCTTCGCATAGATACTACCCCATGTGTGGAGGTCTGGCTTGTTGGGTCCCCACTGGGCTCCCTTTGGTACAGGCCAGCTCTATCCTTGAAGCCCAAGACCCAGGGAAGCATACGACTCTGTGTTGAGACTATCAATTGTACCAGCCGAGCGCTGGGAGACGCGCTGTCTGCAATGATCCAATGTTTGTTAACAAAGTGGACGGATGTTGGGACTTTCTCCATTTCAAATAAATTGACTCCTTTCCCCTAGAAAGAAGCACAATAGTAGACTCCCGATCCGTAAATGACGGGCCCTCGTGGCTCTCGTCCTCTCTATCCTGTAGGCGGCCAAGGCTCACTAGTTTTTTCTTTAATTCAGCAGAAGCAAATGATATCAGGAGGGATCTCCTCATCAGTACTTAAACTGAGACCCAAAGCACTTGGTTGCAACCTTTCACATGTGCTTTATGTGGAATTTTGAAAAAAAAGCAGAGGTAAGAAACAAAATCAACTTGATCGTGATGATGACAGACCACAAATTTTGTGAGTGCTTAGAACTACTTAGACATGCTCCAAACATATCCTTAGGTTATAATTATGAAAAGTCCTGAACAAGATATACATATACATACATGCACGTATCTACTAGCTCAGGCTTACAAGACAGCCTGCAAAATTAAATCTGTTCATTCCCCAGTGTTACCATATGTGTTCCATTTTTTTCTCCTTTAAAGTATTTATAAAAATATAAATTATGCATTTTGTAAAATACTCCTTTTAATGTCTCTACTTGTCAGACACAGCCCAAAAGAGCACGGTATTGTTACCCGTGTGTGACTCTGTTAACCCTTTTGTGCTTCCAAGTTTGGTATGGTTATTTACGGAAAATAAAAATCTATGAACTGAATAAAGCATCAGTCAGTGGCACTTGTGGAAAGCAAGATGGTTCGTTTGGGGCGGGCTTCTTCTTCCCCAAAGGGAAACACAAGACATCCCTTACTGATAGGTGATCACCATGGCCAGGGTTTCAGAAACTCCACACCATTAATACCACCTTCATCTAGAGCCTGATCATTTCTTCCCAGACCACCCACCAGGCATCTCTATATACTGGAATGTGAACTTCTTGTCTGGCCAGGCAAAACTTATCTCCTTGACTTCCTCATCTCATTAAAAGGCTCTCTGGCCTCCTATTTCCCAACAAACCCCATTAACACTGACTGAGTCACTCTGCTCTTGCTAGAACCATAGAGTTGCACATTCATACCCACCAGTTTTGCAGCTGCAGAGTCAACCAACCAAGGACTGCAAACAGCAGGAAAAGCAAGCATTATACTGGTCCTGATGTGTGCCATGTGGTAAAGCCTACGATGATTGCAAATGGTACCGTTTTCTAGTAATTAATCTCTAAACATAGTATGGTGCTGCTTACATAGCATGTACGGTGTATTGGATATTGCAAAGTTATTCAGAAATTACTGATGGTAAGTGGGACCCAGGAAGAAGAAGCCAGATAGCACCTCCTGTGAATCAGCAAGAGCCATGCTGGGCCTGGGAGGAGCCCATCAAGAAGAAGAAGCCAAGTAGCCCTTCCAGTAAGCTGCCCAAGCCATGAGGGCCCAACAAAAGAGAAACCAGAGATCGCCTCCTGTAAGCCTACTGAGGTGTGGCTAAGAATTAGGGCTCCCCACTCCCTACCCCTGTAAGCAACCGGCTGATTCAGGGGACAGGCTGAGTTGATAGCAACTGAGGTACAAAAAGCAACTGAATTATTGTATTTTTTGGTTGACTTTGCAGGCCTGGGGCTGGCGGTCTGAGCATCTATAGGGAAGGTGACAGTATACAGTAGGGCAAATATGGGAATTTCCTTCTTTCTTGTTTGTGAACTCCAATATTGTTCTCGCTGTTTTGTTTTGTTCCAGTGTATTGTTTTTGCTTTATTCAGCGTTCTGTCTTGATTGGTTTTATTCTTTTAGGTTTGGTTTCATTTCGCTATGTCTGATGGCATAGACAACTATTGTGAAGATAATAAAATATACTATGATAGCCACTGCTGATTTCCTACTGTCCTGCTTTGAAGTTCTGTACCAGTTTCATTGCTTTGTTTGCTTGGCTTTATTCTGTTTTGTTTTGTTGGAGTTTATTCTCTTTAAAATTAAAAAATTACAGTACAGAGAGGATTGCATAAGTTACATAAAAATCCTGCCCCATCTGGCGAAAGGGACTTGAACATCTGGAGATCCTGGCTTCACGAGGCACCCTGGACCTCATCTTCCGTGGACACGGGGGACAACTGCGTTTCCATGATGACCAGGCCACCGTCAGGGGAGTGGGAGCCACAGTTAGGAGGAGTTAAGTGTTCTGAAGTATGTGGCTGATGCAGTATAGAGCTAAGATTTTTCCACAATTTAAAGGGAAAAGCAAACTTTATTTCTCCAGCTTCACCTCTTGTGTCTGCAGCCCTTTCCATCCTTCTGTATATCTAGTTCTTATTTGTTTTTAAAAGTCAATGAAATGGGATCCTCAGAGCTGATTTGCTTGAAATGGTCATGAAGAAGTCCCGCGTGGACCGCACACTTGTGCTGTGCGCTTCATCTGCGTTGTTTAACTGGCAGAGTGACCCTGGGACATTCATGTTCTTCACGCTCCCACGTTACTAATGCGAAAGCTCTTTAACATAAAACCGGGAGATATGAACTCAAACCTTTACTGCACTTCACGATACCTCATATGTCTATGGGTCAGAAAGTATCTATCTCTACATTGTTTATCGGGGCAAAAAAAGAGGAAAAACTTAAAGATCCAACAATATAGATTTGGCTAGAAAAACCATAGTGTATACATTATGATGAACAATGACCATTAAAGCCAGAGTGTAAGAAATTATGGGTAAAAACACCCACAAAAAAGGTGTCAAGCTCTAAGAAGAGTGATCTGCTTTTGTTCAAATATCTACAAACATCAGTCGCAGGAGATCTGGTTGATGATATGCACCAAAATAATATTAGTGATGATGGCGGGTCAGACATTGTTTTTCTTTTTATGATTTCTGTACCAATTTTCTGAGAAAATAGCGTCTTTATAACCAGAACAGAAAATGACCGAATTAAGGTCATGCTCTGAGCACAGCCCCCATGAACCCTTGCTTACCCATGTGACCTTCATTTCCCCTATCAACACCCAAAATGCTAAATTCATCTATTTTATTCATGCAACATCTACTCACAGATTGCTTCTGTGAGCCTTGCATTGTTATGGATCCTAAGAACACAGCTGTGAATTAAAGAATAAGGTAAACCTTTAAATTACAACCTTTTTTTAGTATTTACACCTTGTTGAGAAAGGCAGAAAAAAGGCAGACAATAGCAAAGAGAATAAATGTCAGGGATGCATAACCTGAGGTGATATGGAGGATGTCCTGGTGGCTAGTTTAGCATCAGGTAATAGTGTATGTGTTCCTGTAAAGGTGGCACTTACTCAGAATAACAAAGAGAGAGGCCTTTGGATCAGAGGAAACAGCCAGTGCCAAAAACAAGCAAACTCTAAGCTCGCAATGCTAAGGGTGATCCACTCGGCTCTCACACTGTTTTGTAGCTGATCCTGTATGCCCTACCGCAAGCAACTCATGGTCCACACCTTGGTCTTCTTTCTGTCCTAATGTGCAGCAGGACCTCACTATAAATCTGTTAAACTCACAAATGAATAAAGGTATGAAGGGCTTGTATGTTGACCAAAGATAGAGCGTTCTTTAGAATATATGTTAGGCTTTTAAACTTTCATGTTCACTATCTGTACTCCTCACAATCCAGCATACACAAATGCACACACAGACATGCACTCTCAAAATTTCCATTACAGGCTGGGAAAATGTGGTCTGACGCACAAGTATTTGCAAAGTTCAGGACGTTCTAGTAATGCAGCAGGGAAAGCAATCTTAACTGAGTAGACAGAAATTAGGACCTGAGAAAACACAGCCGAGAGGGAGATGCCAGGCTGGGCCAGAGTACCGGGCTTGGTCTTTCCCCGCTGTAGCATGCTGGACAGGGTACACCTTGCTGAGTTTTGCTTTCCGAGCCTGTACGATGACAGGGTGACCAACAGCTCTCATCTGCATTGTCCTCGTCTTGTTGCTTCAGGTGAGGCAGGACATTTTGGTTGGAAAATCAGCTCGGTCCCAGGCAACTGGGAGGGGCTGATCACCTTAAATACTAGCTGCATGGTGATGTAAGTTACTATGTGCTCATAAGCACTGGACTGTGCCTGGGACTTACTAGGCCTGGAAATGACAGTGGTTAATAAGTGTTTAGCAGAACCAAGCATTGCGCTTCATTTTATTTAATTCATGCACAGAGGTAGACATTACTGATTCATTTTTATGGAGAAAGATAAAGACTCAAAAAAAAAAAGAGTCAGTGATCTACTCAGGACACACAAATGAAGGCACTGGGACTCAAACTCGGGGTCTGCTAAACCCGAGCCAAACAACTTTCCTTCCACAGTGCTGCGGCTACAGAGGCCAAGGATATTTTCAGCAACCAAAACAATTCCAACGGCTTTCATTTTTGTGCTATTTTCCCAAACTATAAATGTTCCCTTTTAGAAACAGCATTGCAAAGTAGTTAGACTGTCGAGATCATTCTGTGAATGTGAAATTTTGAAAGCACTGAATTCCTGGTAGAGCGATAAAGTACATTGCATTGAAAATTATCAGCAGAGAGTATTTGAGGATTTTTCTTTTATTTTTCCACACAAGGATTCAGTTAAACAACAGGGAAAGCACATTGCTGGCTCCATAAGGGGATAATTTGTCACACATATATCTGTACCTGACGGAATTATCAGGCAGGGCAGCCTTTGGTAGTGATTTCCGGGCAGTGGTTAGATTTCTCTCTAACATCTCCCTTGTGAGAACACATCGCTGTGTTTCTGGACATTTCACTCTATGGTGCTCAACAGCAGCAGTCAAATCACCGAGTCGGGGTGTCCCTTTGGCTGTGTGCTGCGGCGCTTGGTTTGAAGGTCCATTATGCTGACAATGTATTCATTCATCTTGCCCACCTCACATGGTTCTTGCAGACCTGGCCAGGCTGGCACAACCACAGAGGCTTCACAAAATTCAGTTACCACTTCAATAACACTGCTGGCACCCCATGAACTCTGAATAATGAAGAATTCTCTGCAGGCTTCCAGCTAGATGCTGTAAATTTCTGTTACACGAAGACAGCTGTTCTGGGCATAATCAGGAGGTGCAAAGGGTGAGGATGACAGCACTGTCCCAGGCTGCCTAAAGGATGCGGGTCTTTCTCCTTAGGATTAGAAAAGGAAAGTCTGAGTGTCCGCCAGGGGACTATACAAAAACAAAATATAGAGTTCCACTCAAATGGCAAGCTTCCATAGAAAGAACACGACTGTCCCCCCGCTTCCCCCTTCTCCTGGAAGGAGCCTGGAATAAACATTTTATAATCCAGGAAGAAGATGTTGCTTGGCGTTATGTTTTATGGAGCAAATCCAAAGTGCAGGCTCTGCTTATAACATAAATTCAGAAGTTTGGAAGAGGTTCCAAAGTCCTCAGCCTGGGTTAAATATGGGTCAACAAGGTCCCCATGACCCGGATTCCTCCTGATGAACCACGGCCACCCACAAAACCCTTTCGGGCCTCGGCCCAGGGGGCCCAGGCAAGTGGATGCTCTAGTTCTGCTGGAGGTTCAGTGAGACTCTGCCTGTTCACGTGGAGAGCATCCCAGTCCCCGGAAAAAAGAGGATAAAAACGACGATCTCCCCAAGTCCCATATCATGGTCATGAAGCCACTTGAAATCCAGCTTCTGTAAGGAAATTTCCTGACCAATCCCTTTTGCTCCCACTGGAGCCGAGTGCTGTCTCTTTCATGTTGAGCTAAGTCCTGAAACAGTTATGTCACCTTCAGCGC